TGACAAAGTAGCAACAATGGTGCATTGGAAGATCTGCAAAAACTATCATTTGCCTGTAAGCAAAAACTGGTGGGATCATAAAATAGAGAAAGTCATAGAAAATGATAAAATTAAACTGCTCTGGGACTTCAGAATTCAAACAGACAAGCACCTGCAACATAACACCCCAGACTTAACAATTGTCGATAAGAAAGACAAAAAAGTCTGGATAGTGGACGTGGCAGTGCCTAGAGACAGCAGAATAGACAAGAAAGAACTGGAGAAGATCACAAAATACAAAGATCTACAAATAGAAATAGAAAGACTGTGGCAAAAGCAAGCAAGGGTAGTACCAATAGTAATAGGCGCCTTGGGTGCAATCCCAAAACAACTGGAGCACCACTTGAACACCATCATCGGCATTGACAAATTCGCCATTAGTCAATTGCAAAAGGTGGCCTTACTAGGAACTGCTTCCATCCTGCAACGACATCTGTAATACCATCAAACATCCACATCTGCCTATCCCAGGTCCTGGGTAAGGACTCGATAGGTAGACAAAATGCCAAATCCAGTCTGAACCTCTGGCTGACTGTGCGATGAACCATAATAATAATAATAATAATAATAATAATGATGATGATGCAGTGGATTACTAGGGTGGCAACTGAGGTATACAGCAAACTCTTTGCTGCCCTCTAGTGATTGTCTGGATTTTTTCTTCACTCAGATCTGGAACTCCTGCGAGGTCAGCAGTGTCTAAAGCAGTGGTTCTCAACCTTTCTAATGCCGCGACCCCATAATACAGTTCCCCATGTTGTGGTGACCCCCAACCACTTATACATTACCGGGTGCCAGGGGCGTGGCCAAAGAAAAGGGGGAAAAAATGGCAGACAGCCTTGTTTGGCGACCCCCGTGAAATGGTCATTTGACCCCAAATGGGGTCCCGACCCACAGGTTGAGAACCACTGGTCTAAAGGTAATTTAGATTTCCCCGTCCTCCAGGATATAGCCGGAATTCACAAAGAGCACCTTTGGTCACAGAGATGCCTTGATAAAGAGCCTTGGGGAAACTCTTTCATCTGATCCTCAGCAGCATGAAATAACGTTAAGCAAGCAACCCATGTGTCAACAGTGCACATAGGCCTTTTCCGAATTTGGTTTCAGAGCGTGGTTTCACATTCGGCCTGAATCTGATGCTAATTTGGTTAGGGTTTTCCGCTTCGTTCCACCATGATGTGTCAAGAGAATTTGAATACTGTCCAAACAGCAGTCAAGAGCTCTTCCTAGGCTGCTTGCAAAGAACCTGAATAATTACCTTCCAAGCCTACAGTCCCTGCTAGATATGAGTGACAGCCTGCATTTGTTCTCTTTTGAAGCAAAAATCCACAAACGTACCATTTCTGAATGTTGCTTCTGTTCTGATGAACGAGGCTGCCCACTTTCTGCCTGTGTTCTCATGCCTGGCTATCACCAGCGACTCCAAAACCACATTGCAATCAATTTATTATTGCAGCCGAAGGCCAACACATAAATTAAACATTCAAACAAAACAAAACGAAGCAATATATTACCATAGCATTACCATTACCATACCATTACCATACCATTACCATAGCAATATATTACCATTAATGATGTAAAAAAGAAACCCACATTTTTGTCTCAAAATTGGGCATCTACCTGGATCGAAATCCTGTCAGTCCCATTTCCTCTGGAAATACCCGGAAAAAGACGTAAAGCTAGTGTCAATTACATAATGTGTTCTTTTCCCCCAGTCCTGCTTAACAATCTGTTAGCAAGTGATCGAAGTTTATGCCTCATTTTCACCAGCAGCTACTCCTGTAAGTCGGCCATCATTCAGACTAAAACCTATTATTTGTTTTGACTTCCTTTGGCGGAAACCTAGGCTTAATCTTAGCTAGAACTAAACCCCTGGTCTGGTCTGATTAAATTTGGGTTCTGTGTCCCCCGGTTCAATGGGCGATCTGAGTACCTTTGGATCCATTAACTCTAATCAGCTTCAGTGAACCTGCTGCAGGGCTAGATGCAAAACGTGGCCTAGGTCTGCATTAGCCATTGGAAGCAAAGCCACCATTTCATATGGAAAGCTAAAACGATAATAGACAACACTTAACATTTTGGCAGAATTGTATCATATCTGTTGTCGTGTGCAGCTTCATGAATGGGTTCAAATAATGGTTGGCGAACGTTTGCTTAAGAACCTCAGTTTTTTTAAACATGTTCACAAACTGTAATAAAATAGGTGCACTTTGCGTTAAAAATACAAGTGTGAGATTTGTTACGTCACGTGCTGTTCCTGCCTGTGGCTTCCCCCCCCCCCTTAATTCTAGCTTTTATAAACCTTTGAAGGCCCATTCCTTTAAAGGATTGCATTCTTTCCCTTCTCTGCTTAGAGCTGTCAGATCTGGTCTGCAATCTGAATGACCATTAGATGATAGCAAAGACCCATAGAAGAGAATATTTTTAGGTCAGGGTTGAACTGGGGGGGGGGGGTCCTTGGTGCTCTCTGAGCTGGGTGGTTTTCTTGCAGACATTTCATGACCCAGCTAGGCAACATCTTCAGTGCTAGAAGGGAGATTGATGCTATGGAGAGGAGGAGGAGGAGGAGGAGGAGGAGGAAGAGGAGGAGGAGGAGGAGGAGGAGGAGGAGGAGGAGGAGGAGGAGGAGGAGGAGAATGACTGTGGGGTCCTTGGGGATATCTGAGCTTGGTTGTTTTCTTGCAGACATTTCCTTACCAAACTAGGTAACATTGTCAGTGCTAGAAAGGACTGGAGAGATGGAGGAGGAGGAGGAAGAAGAAGAAGAAGAAGAGGAAGAGGAGGAAGAAGAAGAGGAGGAGGAGGAGGAGGAAGAGGAGGAAGAGGAGGAGGACTGCAGGGTCCTCGTTGCTCTCTGAGCTGGGTGCTTTTCTTGCAGACGTTTCATGACCCAACTAGGGAACATCTTCAGTGCTAGAAAGGAAGGGGAGTGCTTTCTGATTATGCCCTGATTATCAGTGTTGGTGGGGGTTGCTCTTTGGCAGTTCCTTGATTGTTCCTGTTGTTTACTGTTTGATTGTTCATCTCAGCTGGTAGTTCCTTGATTAGGGTATTGCTGGTATTGATTGTCAGGGGTTAATCCTGGTGTAAATCTCTGCTTATGTGGTTGTTGATTGCTGGCCAGGAGGCCCTTGGTCTTTTTGTGTCCTGTTGGCTTTTCCACTGCTGTTCCGAATTAAGTCTAAAGGTTGTTTCCCTTTATGTGCCTGTTGGTGGCTGATTTTTTTATTTTATTTTTTTGAGTGTCTGGCTTCCAAGTATTCTCTAGCATTTTGGGATTTAACTTGGTCTAGGAAACTCAGTTTACCAGTTGAAACTATGGTTAAATCTGAGCACGTGTTGTCACGTATCGTGCGCCAACAGCAAAGAACGAGAATTTTCTCTTGTCATCTAGTGTTTGTCCCGACTTTGTAGCCCAGCTATGATATTGCCGCTACTGGCAATCCGTATGATTTTCACCTCTCTTCCTGCCTTCATGATTTTTTCGCAACATCTTCTTTTCCTAAGAATAAACCAATCTACTGATTGTGTAGAGATATGTACACCAAATAACACGTTTTTCCTTTGGATAAGGGGAACCAACGTCCCATGTCAAGCAAAGGACTGGGCTACCTAACCCAATCTTGGGGTTAAGATTGGGTTACGCTAGAACTTTCCCCAACCCCACACATTTTATGATTCTGTGATTTTCATCCTCAAGGTCTTCTCCACGTGGAAATAGTGGTCTACTGAATTAATAAGAACATCCCTTGCCAAACTTTATTTCTTCGGGACCCTGAATGTCACAGTTGGGTGGCTTCTCTGCTCAGAAGTAATTACAATGAATTGTAAGAAAGAAAAAACTCTCTTTCATGTGCCCCATTGATTTCAACAGGAGCATTGAAGCCAGTGGCGGGATTCAGCCGGTTCGCACCACTTTGGCAGAACCGGTAGCTAATTTTTTGTTGCTCAGGGCCAGAATGGACTTCTGGAAGTGGCATCCCCACAGAGAACCGGTTGTTCCCATATTTGAATCCCACCACTGCAGGTTGTGTGACAGGGGTGTTACACGGGTGACCCTAAGGCCAGTGGTGGGATTCAACCAGTTTGCACCACTTCGGCAGAACCAGTAGCTAATTTTTTGTTGCCCAGGCCCAGAATGGACTTCCGGAAGTGGCATCCACATAGAGAACTGCTTGTTCACATATTTGAATCCCACCACTGATTGAAGCTTATCATTAATAAGAAAGAAAAGAGGAAAGAAAGAAAGAAAGAAAGAAAGAAAGAAAGAAAGAAAGAAAGAAAGAAAGAAAGAAAGAAAGAAAGAAAAGGATGAGGGGAGATTTAATGAAGAGAAGGAAGAGGGGGACATGATAGCAGTGTTCCAATGTCTCAGAGGCTGCCCCAAAGAAGAGACAGTCAAGCTATTCTCCAAAGCACCTGAAGACAGGACAAGAAGCCACGGATGGAAACTCATCAAGAAGGCAAGCAACCTAGAACTAAGGAGGAATTTCCTCACAGTGAGAACAATTAACCAGTGGAACAACCTGCCTCCAGAAGCTGTGAATGCTCCAACAAGTTTTTAAAAAGAGACTGGACAGCCATTTGTCTGAAATGGTGTAGGGTTTCCTGCCTGAGCAGGGGGTTGGTCCCTCCCAACTTTATTATTATTATTATTATTATTATTAGAAAGAAAGTAAGAAAGGAAGGAAGGAAAGGAAAGGAAGGAAAAAAGGAAAGAAAGAAAGAAAGAAAGGAAGAAAGGAAGGAAAGAAGGAAGGAAAGGAAAGGAAAGGAAAGAAAGAAAGAAAGGAAGGAAGGAAGGAAGAAAAGAAAGAAAGAAAGGAAGGAAAGAAAGAAAGAAAGGAAAGAAAGAAAGGAAGGAAAGGAAAGGAAAGAAAGAAAGGAAAGAAGGAAAGAAAGAAAGAAAGAAAGAAAGAAAGAAAGAAAGAAAGAAAGAAAGAAAGAAACTAACTTACCAGATCGAGGCTGCTGAACAAAGTCCCTTGCAAATGTTGGTAGCAGTCTGTGTTCGCGAGAAGGCAATCAAGGAAAGACAAAATGTTGTGGGTTTTTTTTTCCTTCCTAAATTTAGCGGATGACAATCTTTAACCTCCAAGAGCGAAGACACTCCAAGCAAGCAAGCAAGCTGGTTTTCAAAAAGCACCCCTGGAGTTCAGGACCTTCAGCTACGTCCCGGGTCAAAGCAGGAGCAGCAGCAGCACCAGCAGCAGCGGCGGTAACAATAGCTGATGCAAAAAAAAAAAAAGGGGGGGGGAGAGAAAAAGGCATCAGCTTGAGTCAGTTTCCTGGCGCGTTCCAGCTCTGCTCGGTGTGGGTTTCCCTGTGGTGAGTTATGCACGGCTCAGGAAGATCAAGAAAAAAAAGGGCCCCACTGCCCACACCCTGCCCACACAACTCGATGGGGAGCTGAACCTGTCGCCAGGCAGAAGCGAAGAGCCGGATTTCAAGCGCGTAGAGGAATAACCGCCAACGATCCCCTTTCCTTTTATTCCTTTTGGTCCTAACTGCCACGCTGTCGATGAAAATAGAAGTGTTCGTTGGCCAAAAAAAAAAAAAAGCCAACACAGGGCTAGGCCACATGAACAGAGGGGTAGAATCGAGAGCAGGTGAAGTGTTAATACCGCTTTACGATGCCTCAGTAAGGCCACACTTGCAAGATTCAGACCATCCTCAACGTACAACCCCAGTTCCACGAAACTGCATCCAGTTTTGGTCACCACAAAGTAAAAAAAAAAATGTCGAGACTCTAGAAAGAGGGCAGAGAAGAGCAACAAAGAGGATCAGGGGACTGGAGGCTAAAACGTGTAAGGAATGGCTGCTGGAATTGGGCATGTCTAGTTTAATGAAGAGAAGGACGAGGGGGGACAGGATAGCAGTGTTCCAGTATCTCAGGGGCTGCCCCAAAGAAGAGGGAGTCAAGCTATTCTCCAAAACGCCTGAAGGCAGGACAAGAAGCAACAGATGGAAACCACTCAAGGAGAGAAACAACCTAGAACTAAGAAGAAACTTCCTGACAGTGAGAACAATTAACCAGTGGAACAACCCGCCTCCAGAAGCAGTAAATGCTCCAACACTGGAAGTTTTTAAGAAGAGACTGGACAGCCATTTGTCCAGAATGGTAAAGAGGGTTGAACTAGATAACCTCCAAGGTCCCTTCCAACTTTGTTATTCTGTTATTTTGATGGACACTAATCAAGGAGGGAACCAGCCTAGAACTAAGGAGAAACTTCCTGAAAGTGAGAACAATTAACCAGTGGAACAACCTGCCTCCAGAAGTGGTGAACGCTCCAACCCTGGAAGTTTTTAAGAAGAGACTGGACATCCATTTGTCTGAAATGCTAGCAGATTGAGTTAATATGGCCGGTGGTGAGAGATCCTGGGATTTGTGGTTCAGCGACAGTGAGAAAGCCACAAGTTCCCCACACTATACAGGCCCAAGTCAGTCAGTCAGTTTGCTTTTGTGGTTAAGGAAGGCGCCAGGCTAGAAAAGCAGGAGGATGCGAATTCTAGTCCCATCTTAGAAACGGATGGGTGACTTTGGGCCAATCCCCAGGAGACGGTGAATTCTAGCCCTGTCTTAGCCATGAAAGCTGGCTGGGTAATTCGGGGCCAGTCCCTCTTGCTCAGCCTAACCCACCTCACAGGATTGTGGTTGTGGAGAAAACAGGAGAAGGAAGGTCTGTTTGTTGCCTGGAGTTATCTGTAAAAATAGTCAAGGCAAGATATAAATATTTTTTTTTAAAAAAAATAAAGATAAATCCACATTCTCAAAATAAGATGGGGTTATGAACTAATGGAGAGTTGAAGCATCTCATTCACTGTCCTTTCCCCCCCCCCAACTCTCCCAATGTGTGATTTATTACTTGTGGTTTGTATGGACACTGAGAGCTTATGCACCAGAGACAAATTCCTATTATCATGCATAACAACAACAACAACAATATTAATGAGCCGAGGTGGCGTAGCAGTTAGGGTGCAATACTGCAGGCCACTTTAGCTGACTGTGTTCAGCAGGTCAGCGGTTCAAATCTCACCGGCTCAAGGTTGACTCAGCCTTCCATCCTTCCGGGGTAGGTAAAATGAGGACCAGATTGTTGGGGGCAATGTAAATATATATATACATTGCTTACTGGTGTACACCGCTTAGAGAGTGCTTGCACTTAAAGCGGTATATAAGTCTCATAAATAAATAAATAAATAAATAAATAAATAAATAATGTTGGAAGGGACCCTATTTCTTTGGCTTGGCTGAAGTTCCTGAAACGTTTTCAAGACTAGCTTACCAAGAAATCGAAAGACAGCGATGCATGAAACATCGCTTGGACTCAAGTGCTCATGGCCAACGGGAATACATGCTATGGGAGCATGAATCACAGAGCTGACGCAAGCTCTACGCTGCCAGCTAAGCTATTCAGAGGATACTCGGAAACACTCGGGCTATTTATGTCTCTAATGACAAAAGTCTCCCTTATGGCGTAATTGAAGTTTCAAAAAAAGCAGAAGGTGTAGAGCAGACGTCCCCAACCTTTTGGGCACCAGGGACCGCTTCCGTGGAGAAAGAGTGTGTGGTTTTGTGTGCTGCCTGCATCCCGCAGATGGGGCTTTGTTTGTTTGTGCGGACCGGTTGCTGGCATGCTGGTCCACGGCCCGGGGGTTGGGGACCCCTGGTGTAGAGTGTTCTTCTCCTGGAAAGAACAACTGTGACGTATTTATGGTGCCAATCCGCCAACTCAGATAATCCTCCCCAGTATTTTATACAGATATTAAATAAAATGAGTTTATTTGAAACCCTGAGACAGGGGTGTCAAACTCAATTTCATTGAGGGCTGCATCAGAATTGCGGTTGCCCTTGGGGGGGGGGATTGCGGCCAGGGTGGGTGCGGCCTACTGGGCGTGGATGGAGTGGGTGTGGCCTATTGGGTGGGCGTGGCCAGCTCTACATCGTTCGTCTCAAGGGTGCCTGTGGGGGCCTGGGCAGGAGTGGGACAGATCTTTTTTTTAAAATATTTTTTTATTTTTCCAAACTCTCCCCCATACATATACCGTGATATTTATCAGATGTTAACATACATTCTTTTTACATTCATATATAAGATACTTTTAATAAAATGAAATAAATACATACGCATGACTTTTGGTGTTGCTCGCCCATTTCCCCTTTCACTGTATTCACACTCCTTCTTCTCTACCTTCTTTCTCCCTTTCTTCTCTTCCCTACTTCCCTCTTCTTCCTCTCTTCTCCTCTTTCCTTCACCACTCTCCTCCCCTTTCCTCTTCTCCTTCAACCTTCCTACTTCCTTCTCCCCTCCTTTACTCTTTTCCCGACTTATTATTATTATTAAATATTTCTATCCAAATTGTGATAGTAAGTCAAGGACTGCCCCTGTAGAATTCTTCATTGATGGGAAATATGTGTTCATTTCTGAACAATCTGATCTTTCTTTATGTATGGAACGCACAAATCCTCTAATGCAAACATCACTTTCGTTTCATTGAAAACTGAAGATTGAGAAATGGAAAACGTTTAAATAAAGGAGATGTAATTTCTTGATTAAGGTGTTTTATTCAAAATTCTTTTATTAAAAAAATACATGTGCTAACAACCAAGCAATATATATAAAAAAATAAGGAATTAGGTAAGATCTGTACGCTTGACAAACACAAGAGGAATTCACTTATATATATATATGTATCCCATAATATGACAGTGCATACTGCAATACTGGATGTTCCGTTAATGCACCTTTTGCACCATTAATGCAAAATTATTTCCTGTCCAGTACTTCTTCTTTTGAGAAGTTTACTAATATTTTCGTTATTTTGAACACCCACTTGCCAGCTAGGTCCACATGAATAAATATTAGTATGCAACATACGTAATCACATACATTTGTGTTTCCAAAACTGGCAATCGTATCAAAAGCTGTTGAGATTGCAAGTATTATAGAAGCTATGTGTGTGGTCACTTATTCATACCAATCCATGGGAAAAGATGGTGTAAATTAACATATGTATTTCGCTTCAGGTTGTAGCTTTTATTATAACGTAAATTCTTCTCAATAAAGGCAGTGAACATCTGTGAAATTTAACAGCACGCATTTCATGCGAATAATATTTATTCACAATTATATCTGTTGGAAAAAAAAAAAAGGGCTGGGGAGGCTTTATCTTCCGTAGGCACTTCTCATAGAAACAACTATATCCTGAGAAATATTTTCCCCCCAAATAAGAGAGCCGGTATTGCAAATCTTGCATCATAATTAAAATCCCTACCTCGTTAGAAGTTTTTGCAGCTTAATCTAAAATAAGTTTGATAATAAAAAAACGGCTACAGAAAAAGTTATTTTCTCCTCAATTTTAAGACTGAGGAAAATCTTCAGGTATTACAATTTTAACGCTGCTTTTACTGCAGCCCAGTGAAGTATTAATATAATTATGGAAATGTTGGCAACCTATTTTTATGAGTAGACTTCCCTTAATATCTTTGCAGATTTCAATGACTAACTACACCATGCATTGTTTCCTTCAGTTTTTAAATCCCAGTTTTATTTCTGTAAGCGTCTTCTAAGCTTTTTTTGCAGACTATTTGAACAATCTAAAACAAACTTGGCTAGCTCCTCTTGAAGGATTTGCACAGCGGGACGTTATAAATATAAATCATTACAAATGATTTAAATTCCTCAATACACACACACAAAAAATCTGCCATACATTTTGGCATATTAAAAGTAACTCGCATAGATTCCACCCCCCCCCCCAATATTTAGTTTTCCATTATAAATGTTACTTCTGGGCATATGTGATGTGTGCAATCCATGTTATTCAGATTTCATTAGAAACATGTAAGTCTAGATTATAGAGACATTGTTTCATCAATTATATTAATGAAGTAAGCAGATACCTAAATATTTTTGTTGTTGAACACACACACATAACCAAGATTTACAAACATATGTCACATCGTTTCTCAACGAATGAGGGCGAATGGAGGCAACAAATGATCTTAATCTGACATTTTCCACCATGTGCTCTAACTACACAGCCAGCTATCCTGGTTTTCAAACCTAGAAAATAGCTGACCTGTAAAATTCTTTGTCTCTTGGCTCTCCCTCCCCCAGTAATTCCTTATATTTATCAGACAAAAAGGCAACTGGGAGTTTTCTTCCAACAGCGGGTGGAAAACGTTCTGTCGTTGTCGTCTGCTACTCCCCGTCACAAGAAAAGTTACAAAAATCTTTTTTTTAAAGATTTAGCCCTGGGAAGACAGACCCCTGTCCCAAACTACAGTAATAAGCAAGCAAGCAAACTCCAACTAAGGGGGGAAAAAAGCACAATAAAAACATAACACTCTCTGGAAGGCTGAATTTTGAAGCTGTCAAATGCCCTTGGGCGCTGTGGGAAAAAAAAAAAGGAATCGCCTCCCGATTCTTGTGGAATAAGAGATTAATTGTGGGGAGAAATGTAGAGCCGTATTGATGACCGTTGAATCTGGTTGAAAAACCATCTCATTCCTCCTTAATCCGATCCGGGTCGTGAGGTGGTCCTCAAGAGTCCACCTTCCCCAAAAGCATCTTGAGCGAAACAATTTGAAGTCGTTCCAAAAGAAGACCTATCTGGGCCTTCCAGGTGAACAACAAGGACTCTAGTCCCTTTGGAGGAACATCTGGGATCATTATGCTCAGAATATATCCACCGGGAAAAATAAGTCCCAGGAGGAACGGTTACTCACACGCTTCCTTCTCTTTTCTTTCTCCCTGGGGGGGGACCATCCTTGACGTGTACGCCCTCCATATCTACTTGCGAAGCCTACGTGAAATAGCCGAAGGACTTTCTAGCGTCCCACTGTGGATTAAGGCAAGGCAGAAATAATGACATCTACGTGCCTTGCACCTCTTATCAGAGCAAGTGGGGAAAAGCAAAATTTAATGACAGGATGCCCATTAATGATATTATATTCAAGTTAATTTGTCCTAGAATCCTCACCCAAACGATGGTAAGACAGACCCAGATGCATAATCGTTGTCTTTTTGAAAGATTAGGACAATTTTAAAATAAATCTATTTCAAATCTGAGTTTGATGGGATAATACCGATTGCAAGTAGTTCTTGTTGGGCCTGCTTGCTGTTTATTCCCTTCCTGTTCCTAGTTCCGTATTTTACCGAAGTGCCGTTTTAAAGGATTTGAAAAATATCTGAAATTCATAATAGGGGCTTGCATTAAAATCTGCATTTAAAAAAAAAAAAGGAAAAAGCTTCGTGAAAAGAGACAAGTATTTGAAAGAAAATTGCCGCTCTATTTTAAAAGGAGAAACATAAAATTGTACATTCAGTTTTCCTCAAGGAAGTAATAATAAATGGATCTTAATTTTTTTCCTCCATTTTTCTTAATTGTCTCAGTAGAGAGGAACTGAATCTCATGGCAGAAATTCAGATTCGGTACCATATTCCCATTCAGAAACATGTTTTTAAAAATACTATTAACAGTCACATATTCCCTTCAGCAATCTCACCTTTTCTTTTTTTTTACCCATCTCAAATGTACAATTAACATTACTTCTTAAGAAAAGATTTTTAAAAAACCAGGTCACAAAGATTCCCACCAAGACCTGCACGGATGCACCGTAATGCTTTGGCTTCCCAGATGCTAGTTTGATAAGACCAGTGTAAATTCATAGCAAAATGACAAGAGAAAAATATATATATATATATATATCAGCTGATGCAGAATAATCGGAATAGCTGCCATAGGAGTCTTCTACTTGTGTTCCACTTAATGACGTGAGTGATGTGCTCAGAGCTCGTCTTTTATAGGCTGTCGTACAACAGATGCTGGTGAACGCGTCGTTTTTATGATGTTAGGACAGAGAATGTGGGGTTTGCTTATATTTCTTTTCCAGAAGTCTTGGCAATAACCATTCCAGGCTGGAGTTTTGCTCGCATCTTTAGAAGCCCAAAGGCAGAGATATACCTGAATAAACACTTAGGTATTCTTTGTTCAAATGCTTATTGCACTTACGGTGGATCTTAATATTTATAATACACTCGGCCTGCTCATACTGAGTCCTGTGGGAGTATTCAAAGGCTCCCAAATGGTGAATTATCTTTGCAATAACAGGGCTCTCTGATTCTAGCAAGTGACATTTATCAAAATAAGCAGTCAAGACCAAACCTCTGAACGAATGGGGCCTTGCCTGTTCTTCCTCGCCACATTTTTACTGTCCCGTCAGTCAGCATGTCGATGCCTTAGGGAGATAAATCCAGGAGGAGAAAAGATCTGAAAAGCTGAGATGCAAGCTACTACATTTTTTTTCCTGCCCTGAAAATAAATGCAACCCAATTTTTTATTTTCTCCCTCTTTCCAAAGCGAGCCGAGGATTCGAACCCCAAACCTCGTAAAGTCCTTCGAAGCATCCGACGTAAGCTCAGCCAGAGTTTTAAGAATTGTTTTAAAATGGAATAGAGACCATGAAAAAAAAAAAAAGAGCACTACATTCCAGATGTTTAGGGATATTCGTTAAATGAAAAGGGCAGAGTTTTTTTCCAATTGGAAGCTTGGCTTCCCTTTGAAAATTGGGGAACTTCTCGATAAGCAGGGCGGCTTATAAAAATACTTCTCATTAAAACACACACAAGAGAGATTTGGTAAAGGGGGAAAACACATTGACACAAACGCCCGCTGATGGTTAAGCCCTTTCCACTGAAACGCTGTTTTCGACAGGGACGCGTTTATCCCGTTAAAAACGCGAAGTTGTTTCTTGCTTCGGCAACATCAGCTTTTCCAATCCTTTTGAGGGGGGGGGGGGCTTCCTTTTATTCCAGCCAGATTTTAAAACAGCCTGACTTTATTTCTGTGAACCTGCAGAACAGGAAGAGATTTAACTTAAAATATGTTCTGAATAAATGACCTTAGGGTTGAATTCAAACAACTGTGAACCGAAGGAACAAAGCTATTATCTGTTCGGTTTAGATTATAATGTTATACCAAAACTTCCCTAGCTTCCGGGAAGGAGAAGCTGTGCGGGCAGAACCTAATCTTTAGATTAAGTTTCATTATCTGGATTGGGGTGTTGTTGGTGGTGTGTGTGTTTTTTTTTGTGACCCTGGATACAGTTGGCATTTTAAAAAACGTATCATAGGTGCAGTGGCTCTTGGGCAGAGAAAGACCAGAGTGTGAAAAGAGATTTAACTTAAAGATGTTCTGAATAAATGACCTTAGGTTGAATTCAAACAACTGTGAACAGAAGGAACATGAAAACAGAAACAACACCCCCCCAAAAAATCACAAAAAATTCCCCCTACACACACACACACACACACAGTTCTTAGGTATCTGTTGTCCTCTAAATATTTTTATGGACCTATTCCAGTGGTTCTCAACCTGTGGGTCGGGACCCCATTTGGGGTCGAACAACCATTTCACGGGGGTCGCCAAACAACGCAGTCTGCCATTTTTTCCCCCCTTTTCCTTAGCTGGGCTACTCCTTTTTATTCTATTGGCTTTTGAAAGCCAATAGAATAGGCTCTCTTGAATAGAGTCTAATTCTATTGGCTTTCCAAAGCCAATAGGAATTGTCCAGGCTGTCTCTGCCCTGCTGAGCCCGCCAAAAGTCCCGTTCTGCAAACGCTGCTGCACCAGTTGAGTAGTCCTCGACTTACGACCGGTTGAGTAGTCCTCGACTTACGACCAGTTGGGGGTCGCGGCATTAAAAAGGTTGAGAACCACTGGACTAGAGGAACATATGAAAGCATAATTAATGTTAATTAATGTAGACTTTATTAGTTTAGAGCAGGGGTAGGCAACCTTGGCTCTTTTATGATTCGTGGACTTCAACACCCAGAATTCCTGAGCCAGCCATGCTGAGGGGAAAGGGAGAGATAGCCATGCTGGGTCAGGAATTCTGGGAGTTAAAGTCCACGAATCATAAAAGAGCCAAGGTTGCCTGCCCCTGACCCAGACTATCAATTTAGTCTTTCTAGGAGACAATGCCCCAGTCCTGAAGCGGTTCAATGCAGGCTGCAGATTTCCAGTGAGGAGATGCTGAGGACTCACCTGAACTTGTGGCTGGTGAGGTATTTCATAACGGCTGGCTTGATCCGAGCAACTCCTCCCTGGCTATGGTTTCCCCTTCCGGTGATCACGTAGAGATACGGCACGCCACCTGGCAGGCTGCACTCTGTTTCGCAAGAAGGATAAATGTTCTCTCTCTCTTCGTTTAAAAAAACCCAACAAGTTCAGAGATTCAAACGCGGCCATTTTGAAAAGAGCCCTGACCGATTCGTGAAGTGCAAATGCTGCGTGCGATAAACCAGCTTCTTCAACCCAGTCCAGCCTATTCTGATCAGAATCTGCTTCGGTTTGGCTACACAGAATAACCTCTGAACAAGACGGCAAGAATGAAAAACCAGATGTTTTACAGGCAAAGCTCTACTTTTAACTCCCTCCAGACCACAACTGCGCCACGGCAGTTAATTTCAACCGCATTTAATGTCTTTTAGTCCCATGTTGGTTTGATCTGTTTACATATAAAAAGGACTCTTACCTGTGGTTTTCTCCTGCAGCACTCTGGAGAGATGACCCAAAGCTTCATCCACGTGAAGACCATGAAGGTCCAAAAGGTTTATGGGCAGCTTTGAAGCGTTGACTTTCTCAAAGATTTGCTGAGCCGCGTCTTCATTCGCTTCTTTCATCTTCTGCTCGTGAAGCTGGCCCTTCAGTCAAACACACAATTAAAAAACTTAGGTGCAACCCTGGCTACGGAGAGCACAAGCAAAGAGCAGAACCCTCACAGCGTCCCAGAACAGGGAGCTGAGTCTTTGGACCACACATCAAAGAGGATCCTGATTTGTTTCAGGAAGCTGCAGATCCACCTAACTGCATGAAGCAGGAATAGGAAGAAGGGAGGGAGGGAGGAAGGAAAAATAGAGGAAATGAAACATCACACGGTATGATCCGTGACTGAATACAAAGAGCAACTGATAATGGATACAGCTAGTCCTCACAATTGAGCCCAACATGTCTGTTGCTAAGTGAGGAATGTGTTAAGTGAATTTTGCCCCATTTGATGACTTTTCACTTAACGGCGGGGGCAAGACAGGTGGTAAAATGGGGCAAAACTCATTTAACAACTGTCTCACTTAGCAACAGAAATTTTGGGCTGAACATCAAAAGATGTTGAGACTCTAGAAAGAGTGCAGAGAAGAGCAACAAAGATGATTAGGGGACTGGAGGCTAAAGTATATATAAGGAACAGTTGCTGGAATTGGATATGTCTAGTTTAATGAAGAGAAGGACGAGGGGGGAACATGATAGCAGTGTTCCAGTATCTCAGGGGCTGCCACAAAGAAGAGGGAATCAAGCTATTCTCCAAGGCACCTGAAGGCAGGACAAGAAGCAACAGATGGGAACTAATCAAGGAGAGAAGCAACCTAGAACTAAGGAGAAACTTCCTGACAGTGAGAACAATTAACCAGTGGAACAACCTGCCTCCAGAAGCTGTGAATGCTCCAACGCTGGAAGTTTTTAAGAAGAGACTGGACAGCCATTTGTCTGAAAAGGTATAGGGTTTCCTGCCTGAGCAGGGGATTGGACCAGATGACCTCCAAGGTCCTTTCCAACTTAATAACAACAACAACAACAACTGTGGTCATTAAGTAGAGGACGACCTGTATTTATTGGATCCTCAATTCTAGCCTCCGTGAAACTGTGGCAGTGAAGGGAGGGGGACAATATCCATTTTTAAAATGGTTTTTTTGAGAGCCACCGAATTGCAACATTTGAAAAACCACATCCTGCTTTCTCACGTTCAACTGGGCAATTGGTGACTTTCTGGAACGGGTGTCTCTGTGCTGAAATGCTGCTTCGTCCTTGGTGAAAATCAGTCTTACCTGTTGCACGTAAAACGCCGCCACGGGCTTCATCCCCATGCGGTACGCTTCTCCGGCTTTCCGCAGACATTCCTGCCTTTGCTGTTGGTGAAGAAAGGCCTCGGCCCTGAAGTCCTCGTAGCCTGGATATTGAGTGTCTTGGAATCCCTTCTCGCTCAGGATGTCTTCCAGTTCTTTAGTCTTCATAGCCTGGGATTGAAAAGTGAGGTGCTTAGACACAACTCGAGGCAAAGCGTACGGGCCTAGCTGAAGGGCAGCCAAGAAGAAGCTGTCCTGCATCGTCCCGTGGAAAGGGAGCTTCGCGTAGTGCCGACGGAAGGATATATTTGAAGAAATATATTTGTGCAAATGAAGACAAAAATACGTGTCCCGGGATAAGGTTGCAGGATTCAATCTATTTGTAGCTCAGCATTGAACCGTGGGGTCCTCGTTGCTCTCTGAGCTGGGTGGCTTTCTTGCAGACGTTTCACAACCCGACTAGGTAACAACATCAATGCTAGAAGGGATTGCGGAGAGGAGGAAGAGGAAGGAGGAAAAGAAGGAGGGACTGTGGGGTCCTTCATGCTCTCTGAGCTTGGTGGTTTTCTTGGAGATGTTTCAGGACCCAACTAGGGAACATCATCAGAAGAGAGTGGGATTTATGGAGGAGGAGGAGGAGGAGGAGGAGGAGGAGGAGGAGGAGGAGGAGGAGGAAAAAAGGCTGTGGGGTCCTTGGTGCTCCCTGAGATTGGTGGTTTTCTTGTGGACATTTCATGATCCAAATAAGTAACATCATCAGTGCTGGGAGTGGGTTTTGCTCTCTGTTTCTCTACAAGTGGCTTGCCCTGTCAACGTTGTGGGAGTGTTCTTGGTGGTGTCTTGATTAGGGTATCGTTTATTGAGTTTGTAGTCCCTCGACCGGGGTACTCTTTACCACCTGATGTTAACCTCTGCTTATCTGGGGGTTGATTGCTGGTCAGGAGGACCTGTGATCTTTTGGGATTTTTGATCGTGTTCTTTGAAGAAGACCACCTGAAGAGACTAGAAGCATTTGAAATGTGGATTTACAGGTGGTTGCTACTATAAGCTGGGTTGACAAGATCAGAAATGAGGAGGTGATCAGCCACCTGGGAAAGCCAAGGGAAATCGTCAAAACAATTAAAAAACGAAAATTAGAATATTTCGGACACGGGATGCGACACCCAGAAAAACACGGCCTACTCCATTTAATCCTCCAGGGAAAGACGGAAGGCCAACGAGGTCCAGGCAGAAGAAGAACATCATGGCTTCAAAATCTAAGGGACTGGTTGGGACAAAACTCAGCAGCACTTTTTCGTGCGGCTGCTGATAAAAACAGGATTGCCAACATCCGATAACGGATATGGCACAAGAAGGAGAAGAAGTCTTTTGAACGGCATGTAGATATGGTTACCCTATTTGCCCAAGGAAACCTCTGCGAGAAAACAGCCAAGCTCAGCAAGCATCCAGGCCCCCCACTTCACTTAAGTCTTTCTAAAGCCCCTTTCAGAAAATAGATTTGCAACGATTCCGCCAAACAGCTTTTTTTTTTTACCTTTTTCTCTCGGCTCTTGGAAGCGTTGCTCGGAGACCGTGCGGGGTTCTGAGCCGGTTCTTTAGCGACCACGTTTTTTATGGGATCTGCCTCTAGAACGCTGTTGAGGAACTGGACCGTTTGCTCCAGGGAATAACTGACAAATTGGGAAAGAACAACGACAACAAAAGGAATCATTTCTGGTGGAACAGCTTTCACGTAGCCGATCCCCACCATCTCACGCAAGGAAAACTCACTTGTAGTCCTTGAAGATGTCCATCAAGAAGTTTGCGCTGATGGTTGGGAATAACTCCAAAAGTTGTTTCTCCTTCAGTTTGGCAGCGCAGTCTTTTTTAGCGATGCAAGGGAAAGGTTTCTGCCCCACAAAAAGAAGAAGAGAAAAAAACAATTCTATCTCTAGGAAAGTGTTTCTCTAATGCTACAGCGCAAATAATAAACCACATATTTTTGTATTTTTTGCGGTAGCTGTTACCCTGTCTGCTTGCATACGAGCCTGTCTGCACGTGAGCCAAAGCTCAAGTTTTTAAACAAAGCATCACGAAAAATGCACCGCTCATGGGGTAAGCTGCCATGAATTTTTCAATGGAATTTTGGGTTAAACATTTGACTTATCCACAGATACATATGGGAAATATGGGTACCGTACTTTTTTTTTAAAAAGTACCATCATACATACAGGGGCACAGATAAGAGGAACTGGTTCTTTTCATTGCATTTTGACATCCAAAATTCTTGCCTTACCCATTAAGTATACAAGCAGTTCTCAGCTTACGACTGCAAGCTGAGCCCCACATTTCCATTGCTAGGTGAAAGTGATGGGGTTTTGCCCCGTTTTACGACCTCCCGTGCCACAGTTGTTAAGTGAATCAGTCCAGTTGTTAAGAGAGTAACACGGTTGTTAAATGACTTTGCTTGTCAGAAGGTCCCAAAAGGGGATGGCGTGAACCCAGGACACTGCGACCGTCATAAATATGAGTCAGTTGCCCAGTTGTCTGAATTTCACGTAATTCAGTTGACTGAATTTTGATCCCCTGACCCATGGGGAGGCTGCAAGAGTCGTGTGAAAAACAGTCATTTTTTTCCCCATTTTTTACAACCAACTGTTGTAAATTAAGGACTACCTATCCCAGTGGTGGCGAACCTATGGCACGGGTGCCAGAGGCGGCACTCGGAGCCCTCTCTGTGGGCACACGTACCGTCTCCCCAGCCCCGCTTCCTCCCATGGCCCCCTCCTCACCAGCAGCCCTTCTGGAGGAGAATCGCCCCTGGGTACGGCCCACGCGAAGCAGCGCAACCAAGGACATGGTAGCCGGGCATTGGGGACAAGACTCTGCCCTTGCGCCCCGTTGCGCGCAGATGCTGCTGCGGGGCATGGCCGCCATGGCGTTGCTGGGCTGCCTGGGTGATCTGTGGCGGGCCATGGAGGTGGTGGGTGGCCCAGTGGGCAGGACGAAGCAGGGACGAGGGTGTGTGTGGGGGAGGTTTTTGGGTACTCGGTCTCTAAAAGGTTTGCCATCACTGACCTATACTGTCCTTTAAAAAAAATACTTCCATATATACTGCCCAGCCACAGATGGATGAACCTGATCTTCTGAGCGCTTGTCGGCATCCAAACTTTTTAGCTTATCCAGGAGTAGATACAGTAGTTCTAACACTCGGTACAATGATACAATATTTAAGGTGCTGCCCTAGCTCCTTAGGGACCTGGGTTCAAAACACTCTGAGCCACCGGGACTCTCAGCGTGCGTTGAGCCACGCAGTTCTTGGCTCAACCATCCATAACATCCCACAGGGTTGTTTTGAGAAAAAAAAAAAAACAAGAGGGAAAGCGTTATGACTTTGTCTGTGAATTCCTGGGGGAGAAGTGGGATACCTATGGCAGTGTTGTTTAATAAGGAACCCAGAATTTTGTTCAAATGATGAAAGGAGGCATTGTTCTGTCGGGATGCAAGTTCACCCCCCCCCCAACATGCGTGCATCCGATTTCACGATACACACATCCAGAAAGGATAGATTTATATTACGATCCACGTTCGATATATCCGCATCCTCTTGTGGATGCTTGGGCTTCTAAAGCAGCGGTTCTCAACCTGTGGGCCGGGACCCCATTTGGGGTCGAACGACCATTTTACGGGGGTTGCCAAACAACACAGTCCGCCATTTTTTCCCCCTTTTCCTTAGCTGTGCTACTTACTCCCTTTTATTCTATTGGCTTTTGAAAGCCAATAGAATAGACTCTCTTGAATTGTCCAGGCTGTCTCTGCCCTGCTGAGTCCACCAAAAGTCCCATTCTGCAAACGGTGCTGCACCAGTTGAGTAGTCCTCGACTTACGACCGGTTGGGGATTGCGGCATTAAAAAGGTTGAGAACCACTGTTCTAAAGGCTCATGGAGTGGGAAGGTAGGATCTGTGGACCCAGTGGTGGGATTCTAATAGGTGAACAACTGGTTCTCTGTGTGGTGCGAACTGGCTGAATTCTACCACAGGAAGGAAGGAAGGAAGGAAGGAAGGAAGGAAGGAAGGAAGGAAGGAAGGAAGGAAGGAAGGAAGGAAGGAAGGAAGGAAGGAAGGAAGGAAGGAAGGAAGGAGTGGGATTCAGATATATGAACAATCGGTTCTCTGTGTGGATGCCGCTTCCATTCTGGGCCTGGGCCACAAAAAATTAGCTACCAGTTCTGCCGAAGTGATGCGAACTGGCTGAATCCCACCACTCTATTTGTCTGTCTATCTATCCTATGTCTAATCTATCTATCTATCTATCTATCTATCTATCTATCTATCTATCTATCTATCTATCTATCTATCTATCTATCTATCTATCTATCTATCCATCCATTCAGTGGTGGGATTCAAATATGTGAACAACTGGTTCTCTGTGTGGATGCCGCTTCCGGAAGTCCGTTCTGGGCCTGAGCAACAAAAAATTAGCTACCGGTTCTGCCAAACTGGTGCGAACTCGCTGAATCCCACCACTGAAAGGAGGGAGGGAGGGAGGGAGGGAGGGAAGGAAGGAAGGAGTGGTGAGATTCAGATATGTGAACAACCGGTTCTCTGCGTGGATGCCACTTCCGGAAGTCCGTTCTGGGCCTGGGCAACAAAAAATTAGCTACCGGTTCTGCCAAAGTGATGCGAACCGGCTGAATCCCACCACTATCTGGACCCTACTGGGAACCAGAACAGAGAACACAAAAACCCTGGGAGACCGGCAACTGGGTTGTTGGGACAGGATGAGACGTACAGGAAATAAACAAGAGCAGAAGCAGCAAGCAGTACTGTACCGGAGTTAGTCTTTCTTGCAGAGCTATTTCTTCAGACATGATCTCCCGGAGCGAAACTTTCTGGGTGTGGACGTTCCAATGATCCATGTAAGGGAAAACTTCGGAATCCGCCGAGCTTTCAGCCGATGCAGCCATAGGTAAACTTTCCTGCTCCCGCCCTTGGAAGTCAGCAGCGTACTGGGAAAGCAGGCCATCCACTTGGCCCGGGTGCAGTTGCTCAAACAGCACGGGATCTTTCGAACAAAGAACAACAGAAGATGAAATGGCAAGAAAAAAGAAAAAAAAAAGAAAAAGAAAGATTTCTTTCTCCCAAATTTGGGCTGACAGGATGCATCAAAAAACACTCAAGGTGTGTGTGTGTTTGTGTATGTATGTGTGTGTGTGTGTATATATATATATATATACCTACGTGTGTGTGTGTGTGTGTGTGTGTGTGTATGTATGTATATATATATATATATATATATATATATATATATATATAGATGTAGGTCTTTGGTTGTTCGGGTTTTCTCCCGCATAAAATTGGAAGTGTCTTGGTGACGTTTCGACGAAGTCCCATTCGTCATCTTCAGGCTGGTGTTTTCAGCTTCGTGCTTCGAAGCACGAAGCTGAAAACACCAGCCTGAAGATGACGAATGGGACTTCGTCGAAACGTCACCAAGACACTTCCAATTTTACGCGGGAGAAAACCCGAACAACCAAAGACCTACATACAAACACCCGCGAAAACCTCAGAAAATATATATATATATATATATATATATATATATATATATATATATATATATATATATATATATATATATATATATATATATATATGTTTTCTGAGGTTTTCGCGGGTATTTGTATGTAGGTCTTTGGTTGTTCGGGTTTTCTCCCGCGTAAAATTGGAAGTGTCTTGGCAACGTTTCGACGAAGTCACATTCGTCATCTTCAGGCTGGTGTTTTTAGCTTCTTGCTTTGAGCAGCAATGTGTGGTTTTAGCTGTTTCTTCCTTTTAACTGCCAGTGAGGGTATGAACTGATTGGGTGGGAGCTTGGCTGTGTTCTGATTGGGTGGAGGTGTGTTCTGAATGGTTAGGGGCTTGGCTGTGCTCTGATTGGCTGGGGGAGTGTTCTGTTTGGTTGTGCTCAGGTTAGTCTGAGTTGCAGAGGGGTTTAAGATTTTGGGGTTAGGGAGTCGTTTGTCAATAAGGGCAGGTTTCCAAATGGCTGGTAGGCGGGAGGTATCATCTCGCTTGTTCATGCTGTGTGGGCGTTTTTCTATCTCGATGGCTTCTCTGATTATTCTGTTATTAAAATGTTCACTTTTGGCAATGGTTCTGGTATTTTTAAAGTCAATTTCATGTCCTGTGGCTTTAAGGTGTTGGACCAGGGAAGATGTTGGTTCCTCTTTTTTGACTGAGTTCTTATGTTCTTCAATGCGTGCACTTATTCTTCTGTTGGTTTGTCCGATGTATGTGGTGGGACAAGTGGTGCATGGGATTTCGTATACTCCTTGATTTTCTAATTCAATTTTATCTTTGGGGTTTCTAAGGATGGTGGATATTTTTCTGTTTGTGCAGAATGCTGTTTTGATGTTGTGTTTATGGAGGATCTTACTGATTCTGTCTGTGGTGCCTTTTATGTATGGGAGGAGGGCTTTGCCGTTTTCTTGTTCTTTGTCTTGGATTTTAGTGGGGGTTTCTTTTTGGATTAGGTTTGTAATCTTATTTCTATGGAATCCATTGGATGTTAGTACATTGGTGAGAGTGTGTAGTTCGGGTTTTAGGTGTTGTTCGTCAGCTAAGCGTTTTGTTCTGGAGATGAGTGTCATGGAACACTTTGAAACCCAAGCTCTAGAAAAATCGGATCACAAACCCAAACTCTGGCTCAGATATGTAGACGACACCTTCATAATCTGGCCACATGGGAAAGAAAAACTGGACAACTTCCTCACACACCTCAACAGCCTACACCCCAAAATACAGTTCACCATGGAAACAGAAGCTAACAACCAACTTCCCTTCCTGGATGTCTTAGTCTACAAGAAATCCAATGGCTCCCTAGGACACACCATCTACCAGAAGAAAACACACACAAACCGCTATCTGCACGCTCTCTCACACCACCACCCAGCACAGATCAACTCTGTAGCCAAGACACTCATCTCCAGAACAAAACGCTTAGCTGACGAACAACACCTAAAACCCGAACTACACACTCTCACCAATGTACTAACATCCAATGGATTCCATAGAAATAAGATTACAAACCTAATCCAAAAAGAAACCCCCACTAAAATCCAAGACAAAGAACAAGAAAACGGCAAAGCCCTCCTCCCATACATAAAAGGCACCACAGACAGAATCAGTAAGATCCTCCATAAACACAACATCAAAACAGCATTCTGCACAAACAGAAAAATATCCACCATCCTTAGAAACCCCAAAGATAAAATTGAATTAGAAAATCAAGGAGTATACGAAATCCCATGCACCACTTGTCCCACCACATACATCGGACAAACCAACAGAAGAATAAGTGCACGCATTGAAGAACATAAGAACTCAGTCAAAAAAGAGGAACCAACATCTTCCCTGGTCCAACACCTTAAAGCCACAGGACATGAAATTGACTTTAAAAATACCAGAACCATTGCCAAAAGTGAACATTTTAATAACAGAATAATCAGAGAAGCCATCGAGATAGAAAAACGCCCACACAGCATGAACAAGCGAGATGATACCTCCCGCCTACCAGCCATTTGGAAACCTGCCCTTATTGACAAACGACTCCCTAACCCCAAAATCTTAAACCCCTCTGCAACTCAGACTAACCTGAGCACAACCAAACAGAACACTCCCCCAGCCAATCAGAGCACAGCCAAGCCCCTAACCATTCAGAACACACCTCCACCCAATCAGAACACAGCCAAGCTCCCACCCAATCAGTTCATACCCTCACTGGCAGTTAAAAGGAAGAAACAGCTAAAACCACACATTGCTGCTCAAAGCAAGAAGCTAAAAACACCAGCCTGAAGATGACGAATGTGACTTCGTCGAAACGTTGCCAAGACACTTCCAATTTTACGCGGGAGAAAACCCGAACAACCAAAGACATATATATATATATATATATATATATATATATATATATATATATATATATATATATATATATATATATATTTTCAGCTATGCAAGTAAAAATATGACTTTAATATATATATATTAAAAAAGAGGTTCTTAAAGAAAATGGTATAGGGCAGTGGTGGCGAACCTATGGCATGGGTGCCAGAAGCAGCACTCAGAACCCTCTCTGTGGGCACGCTTGCCGTCGCCCCAGTCCTAGGCCTTCAGCTGGGTTTTATAAAACCCTTTCGCTTTAGGCCTCCGCTGCCATGTGCAAAAAAAAAAAAAAACAACAAAAAGGTTCAATCGGTCAATTTCAACTTCTCGCGGGGAAAAAAAAGGTCTTGCAAAGTTGGAATTGATTGACTGAACTTTTTAGTCCCATCCAGTCTGCCGTTACCACTGCAGCCACGCCCACCCAATGGGCCACACCCACCCAATGGGCCACACCCCACCCGGCACCCGAGGATGCGTAAGTGGGTTTTGGGTTGCAGTTTGGGCACTCAGTCTCTAAAACAGCGGTTCTCAACGTTTGTGTGACGGCGACCCCCGTCACACAAACGTTCTGCGCATGCACAGCGACGCCCCACGCACAGCGCGCATGCGTGGCGACGCCCCCTGAGGGGAGAAAATGGCGGATCGCCTTCTTTGGCGACCCCGAAAAATGGTTGATCGACCCCAAATGGGGTCGCGACCCATAGGTTGAGAACTGCTGCTCTAAAAGGTTCGCCATCACTGGTATAGGCTTTCCTGCCTGGGCAAGTGGTTGGACTAGATCAGAGGTTCCCCAACCGCTGGGGCACCAGGGACTGGTTCCATGGAGGGAGGTTTTTCCGCGGACCAGAGTGTGCATGGTTTTGTGTGCTGCCTGCATCCCGCGGATGGAGCTTTGCTTATTTTGTGTGGACCAGTTGGATAAGCTAAAAATTTTGGATGCCGACAAGCGCTCAAAAGATCAGGCTCACCGACCTGCGGCTGGGCAGCATATATGGAAATATTTTCTAAAAGGACAGTAGAGGTAGTCCTTAATTTACCAGTTTATTTAGCGACCGTTCAAAGTTACAACGGCACTGAAAAAACTGACGTTGTTCACATGACTCTTGCAGCCTCCCCACGGTCAGGTGATCAAAATTCAGACGCTGGGCAACGGACTCGTACTTAGGACCGTTGCAGTATCCTGCCATCCCCTTTTGTGACCTTCTGACAAGCAAAGTCAAGGTGGAAGCCAGATTCACTTAACAACCGTGTTACCCTGATTTATTTAACAACTGTGGCACGGGAGGTCGTAAAATGGGGCAAAACTCAGTAACTTTCACCTAGCCATGGAAATGTGGGGCTCAGCTGTAGTCGTAAGCTGAGGACTGCTTGTATGCTTATGGGTAAGGCAAGAATTCTGGGTGTCCAAATGCAATCAAAAGCCCGCACTTCCAGCTAATTGGGGGAATATGATTTATGACTGTGCATTGGAGGAGGGAATTGTGCTTTGTTACTTTGTATCCAGGGGAAGGGAAATTAGTTTTTTGGGATACAACTATGTTGTGCCGATACTTTGTTTCCCGAATAAAAGATTCTTTAAGGAAAACAATGCCTCAAAGTTCTTTTGAAGGGTTTCGTCTCTCGGAACGATGACAGTGTGGACTTCAACTCCCAGCCATTCTGGGAGTTGAAGTCCACACATCTTAAAAGTTGCTGACGTTGAGTAACGGGAGCAGGCATAGAAGGAAGCAAGAACTTTGCAACGGTAGATTTTTACCAACAGAAGAACCATGACTTAATTGAAGACAGTACTTACTTTCTTCAAAAAGTTTGCACAATTCTTCTTCTCTCCTCTGACGCTTCTAAATCAAAACATGGATAATACACGGTGAGTATTAATAGTACACTGAAGACTACCATTGTTTGGCCAGGGCCACAAAAATCTTCAGTGAAGGGTCTTAATGATTATCCTCCATTTGCACTTACGTCTCTCATTATGAAATGTTTCGAAAGACTGATAAAGGACTTTATTATATTCAGCCTCCCTCCAGCATTAGACTCATTTCATTCAGTTCACTCACTGTCAGAATCGTTCCAGGGGATGCTATTTCCTCTGCTCTCCCTAGGAGCTTGGCGCACTTAGAGTCAAGAAATATTTATATGCGAATGCTATTCGTCGACTTAGTTTGGTGTTTAATACGACCATTCCTCAGCATTTAGTAGACAAACTGGGCCTTTGAGGGTATATATATATATTTTAAAAAATGTGTTTGGATCAAGTGCAATGTCATTGTTCTATAAATGATTGAAATGTCAATAATTTATAGAGCGAGTAAAAAAAAACATATTCTGTAATAGAATGCATGCCACTGTAATAAGTCATGAACAATAATAAGCCTATCGTTTGAATTAAGCTGACTAACCATAATAGATGCTTTCCATTTGTCATGAATTTCTCTGGCCAAATTCAGATCAATATGAACCACATAGTCATCAGGAGTTAGTGATCCTTATGGAAGGAGGGGGAAAAAAATGAGATAAAAGTCACATACAAATTTAAAGAGAGTCCCACGGTATTTAGTTAAATGCTTTTTTTTAAATGTGCCATCTAAATAAGGTGCAAGCATATAAATGCTATAAATTGGGGATGTCCAGTCTTGGCAACTTTAAGATCTGTGGACTTCAACTCCCAGAATCCCCCAACCGGTCAGCCAAGACCAAAATCATATTTATTCGTTTTTCAAAATTCTCTCTGCTGCAATCTCTTTATGTGGAAATGTTGATTAGGTGATAAAAGATGAAGTCCAAAATATTTGGATAGCGTTAGGTTAGCTACACACTCTAGATTCTGGGCTCTCTTAATCAGAACAGAGTTGGCTGCTATAAGATAAAATGACATTGAAGCTTTTACTACAACCGATTAATCGGTTGCAGTAAACTGATTTACTACAACTTCCTCATAAATTAGCAGCTGGCTAGCCACAGAACAATGAACGTAGCAGGCCAAAATTAAACTATGAATTATGAACAGTGACCTACAGTGGCTTAACTCAAATTAAAGTCTTGGAATACTTACATACTATTGCCTAATCCAGTGTTTCTCAACCGTGACAATTTTAAGGCATGTGGACTTCAACTCCCAGAATTCCACAGCCAGCATTGCTGGCTGTGGAATTCTGGGAGTTGAAGTCCACATGCCTTAAAATTGTCAAGGTTGAGAAACACTGGCCTAATCTGTACCAACTTCTATTACTTAACCCAGGGCTTCCTCAACCCTGGCAACGTTAAGACTTGTGCAAGGAATTATGGGAGTTGAAGTCCACAAGTCTTAACGTTGCCAAGGTTGAAGACCCCTGACTTAGCCTCTTCAGTTCTTGTACAGGTGAAGATCTGTTAGGTATGTACAATCATCAATTCCCAGTTCCTAAGGAATTTGCTATTTTATTTCAGTAAAACAGTCCACTGATGTTATTACCTGTATCAACTCCAACCGGTCCAAATATTTCACTTAACTGCATGGCTAATTCTGGCGCTAAGACCAGCTCGAGGCAATCGATGCTCACAGACTTTGAGTGGGACATGGAGTTCTGCAACTTGACCGTCCCAGGATGTCGTTCGGAGTCGTTCTTTTCTCTTTGCGTCGCCACCACCACGCCGGGACCTCCCTCCGTTTTTCTGCCCTGCTCAAATCGGTCGCTTTCTGCCCTGCTTGAATCGGTTGCTTCCTTTCTTTCCAAATCAGAGGTGTCTTCTGGAAATGGACTCTCCTGACGGTCCGCTGGAGGCTGGGCGTCTTCCACATCACGGGTGGCTTCCCAGGGGCCACCAACTTCATCACGAACAGCGACGTCCGTTTCACGAACGGAAGAGCTACTCCGCGGCTCGTTCTCCGATCGCGTCCAGGATATTCTCTGCTTTGTTTGCCCATTCAAAGGATCTCCCTCCGGGTCGGAGGAGTCTGCATGTTCCCCTGTAGCAGGTAACGGATGGATTTTGTTTTCTCCCGAAGAAGAATTTACACCTTTTCCTGCAAGAGGGTCAGAAATGTTCTCACCGTTGTCACCAAGGAGAACTTCGGCTATTTCGGATGGGTGAGTAAGGAAGGAAGGAAGAGACATGTCAGGAAGCGGAACCTCTGCTTTCTGCAGGCCTTCAATGTCGTCTTCTTTGCACAGTTTCTCGGCCGAGTCTAACAGCAGGCCCGTAGCCCAGTCCATATCTCGGTTACACCGTTCGTACAAATCTTTGATGGCATCAAAGGAAAGAGACCCAAAGAGTTTGCACAAAATGTTGAGGTTCTCAGATTCATCCACACTCACAAGCTCGCTTTCTTCTACGTAGGTGCTTCTCTCGTAAGTTGCTTTATAGGGTATCTTTTCCGGACAATCTGGAATAGCTTCAACCCTTTTGGGTACGAATCCGTCGAGCCTGCCATGTAATACTTTTGTATCTTCTGAAAAAACAATTTCTCTCTCCAGTCTCCACAGAAGGGCGAAATCCCGTGGTTCTGTCTGTGAATATTTAGTAGCCTCAGACACCGCACATTTGTTGGGTTTTTCTTCGGTCCAGTTGCACAGAGGCAGCGCTTCTCCTGGTTTGTTGAGGGCTGAATTGTTGGTAAAGGTTAAAGCTAATTTATGATGCTTACGTGTTCTTTTATTCGGGGCCGCCTTTTTCTCACTAAGAGCTTCCAAAGCTGCTATTTCAGATCCTTGAAAGTGTTCCTCCTTCAAAGGGGCCCACTGCTCTTCAACATCTGCAGATGTTTCATCCGGCAAAGATGTTGCGTTCCCATCATCAGCGTTGACCTCATGTTGGCTGTTTCCTAATCCCTCTGACTCACTAATGTCTCGCTTGGTTATTCTTTGCATTCTGTGTTGTCTTTGCTGCAAAGTTTGGACCGGCCAGTCCCCTACCATCAGCAATTCCGTTGTATGAACTTCTGTATTAACCTTAGGCATCGACGTGGAAGGAAAGTTACAGTTGTTTTCTTCACACTTATCTTTACACCTTTCTTCAGAAAGTGGCAGTTCCTGAGGGCCGTCTACGAAATCTGATTTTTTATCTTCACTTGTATTTTTTAACGAATCAAGGGTAGATGTTGGCACACTTAAATCTCCCTTGTCCCTTCTGGCATGTTTGTCTAATCTTTTATTTCTTTTTACCCTTTGCCTCAACGTTTGTTCTACTGGCCAGTCTCCCACAAAGCTGAATGTTTCAGGTTTTACTGAGTTGCCAGAATTTAGATCTCCACCTTTGTTTTGCGTTTCGGTCAATTCTGCCTCTGTTATTTCATGACATGCAGTTGTTTCAATCTGAAGTTTCAACTCACTCTTATTGCACAACAGAGTGTCGTCACTGGAATCCAAGACTGGTCTTAACTCGGTTTCCAGAATGGATTCCATTTCGATCTCTGCTGGTAAAGCATCAGCGTCCACGCAGTCTATACTACGTTCAGAACTGAATTCTTGTGAATCAGGTCCAGCTCTTCTCTTTTCGTTTTGAAGATGCCGATCTTCTGCCGTAACTTCTTCTAAAGCAGCTTTTTCACCTGGATTTAACTCTACACCTTGCAAAGAGGAAGCAAAAGTTTCTTTCTGCTCTTCTTTCCTACAAGACAAATATATGCGTTTGAATGCACACGTCGCCGAAGTTTGCTTCTGCTAAAACATTTTAGGGCATAACCTGAAACGGCGTAGGTAGAGCAGAAGGAAGAAGATAAAGCATGTTAAAAGGACCGATGAAAACTCAAAACTATTTCCCTTGGACAAACGAGAATTTTTGGTTGAAATGAAGACTGAATGCTTAAGGAATCACAGACTAAATAACAACAAGATAGCTGGTTTTCCTTTTACATTTCATTAAGACTCTAACCCAGTGTTTCTCAACCTTGACAATTTTAAGGCATGTGGACTTCAACTCCCAGAATTCCACAGCCAGCAATGCTGGCTGTGGAATTCTGGGAGTTGAAGTCCACATGCCTTAAAATTGTCAAGGTTGAGAAACACTGCTCTAACCTAAAACTGCATTGGTTTTGAGCTGGCGGGCAGAAAAAGCCAAGCTATCAATATAAAGATATGACTATTTTAGCAGAAACAGCCATGTCTTTATATTATCTACTGAAATAAATAGGGAGGTCTACAAAGATAAAGAAATTGACACAAGCATTGTGCACATTGTTCTATTATTTTTTTTCCTTATTAAAATCTGTCATCAGATACGGAGGGTCTACAGCTTTTGCAATTATTTTCACAGAATGCTATATATACATTTCTTACTACGCTAGTGTAGCAAACCAGTCTGAGCTCAAGTTTTGCAACAGCAAGTATCCAGGAAACCCACAATATCAAAGAAAAACGTTATCATTTCTGCTTCAGGGATTTTATTGAAAATGTTCAGTAACTTGTTCTGAGAATTGCCCCGAGTACGGAATTCTGACAAAGCCTGGATGTGGAATTAGATCATTAGTACTAAACCCCATTCTCTTCTAGCAATGGTAGACGTGGCCTCGTAGGCTCATGAAACATCTTCAGGAAAACTAACAAGGTCAGGGAGTACTAAGGACCCCACAATCAGCTTCATCTTTTAAACCAGCTTAAAACGATGGTAGGCACATTCAGTTTACCCCTGTCTTTTCTCGCAAGGAGGAACTTCAGCACAGGTTGCAATCTTCTTCATGCCATCTGAGATTGAAGAATTCAAAATTGAATTAACAGTCAGGCAATGTTCGTATCGTTCCAACATTCTTTTGATCTTCTCTTTAGACACACCGTGAACATTTCGCCTAAGTATCGAAAAGAACAAAATACTTGAGATGCTGCCACCGCAATACAGCCACACTGCATGCAATTTTAACACATTTTTGAGATTTTTTTAAAAAAATTAACTACATTTGTTTCACGCCGACCTGCAGCCTCACAAACATTATCTAACTCTTCTCATGCTCTGGTCTAACTAAGCAAGGGACTTTTCTTTTCCTTAAAGCCTTAGGTAGATGACTTCCAAAGCCCTTCCAAAATTGCAAGGAATTCTTTTTTTTTTTTACATGATACATAAATAGCCTATTTACTGACTTAAAGGATAAAAAAAAAAAGGACTGAGCTCTAAGTCATCCCATTTTTATATCAGTGAGGAAATAATTAGCCCACAGGAAGATTAGTTGTTCTCAGATTTTGTTAATGACAATTTTAAAAAAAAATCGTACTCTTGACTCTGTTTAAATGAAAAGCCTACACTTGACGGTAATATTTCTGAGGTAAAAAGAAGTAGTATTCAGAAAATAAAGCTGCCATTCCTAATTATGCCATGAAATCTTACAATTATTGATAAAAACTAAGCAAAAAAAACCCCGAATGAATAGTATTGCAGAAATATAGATAATTTGAACTCAAGGCTGAGTAGAAGCTTCCTGCAGGCAACTGAGCAGATTCCTAGCTGAGATATGTTTATTAGTTATTTCTCATTGATGTTACACAGTAATGTTGTTGCAGAATTACTACTATTGCTGTTATTACCTTTCCAATTCTTTGGGTTTAAATTTCCACCATGTATCCGGTTCGCGAAATATAACTTTATATTTGTGTTGCTGTGACTGAAGAAAAATGTAAAACAAGAAAAAAAAAGACATATCACCATCCGACTAGATTCTGTAACAGCTTTGTACTATATAGTATCAACCTTGTTGACTCTCAAGACTCTTTTTTCTATGCATTCAATATGGACTGTGATTTAATATGTATGTATGTATGTAGGTAGGTAGGTAGGTAGGTCAGTCTTTGGTTATTCGGGTTTTCTCCCGCGTAAAATTGGAAGGGTCTTGGTGACGTTTCGACGAAGTCCCATTTGTCATCTTCAGGCTGGTGTTTTCGGCTTCGTGCTTCTAGGAGCAATGGAAGAAACAGCTACGATCACTCATTGCTCCTAGAAGCACGACGCCGAAAACACCAGCCTGAAGATGACGAATGGGACTTCGTCGAAATGTCGCCAAGACACTTCCAATTTTACGCGGGAGAAAACCCAAATAACCAAAGACCTATATACAAAGACCTGTGAAAACCTCAGAAAACAAGTATATGTATATATGTCTCTGTGTATATGTGTGTGGCTGTGTGTCTATATATATCTTTTGAAAGCGGGCATCCCAATTTTGTTTTTTAACATGCGTCTGTGTGCTCACAGAAAAAAGTGACAATAAAGCTTCTCTCATGGCTGGCTGGGGAATTCTGGGAGTTGAAGGCCACAGGTCTTAAACGTGGCCAAAGTTGGACACCCTTGACTTAACTCCTTGAAGGAACCTCAAGAAATCCCACCACTGTAGGCTAGACTAGGATATTGAAAATCATCCTTGAAGAAGAAAACGGCAAATTCTGTGGAGATGGCTACCCAGAAAACAATATTCAACGTAATACCAAAAAATATGGAATACTAACCAAAGCAATATAAGGCTTCATTTCCCAAGCCTGTGTGTTTGTATTGTCTATGATTATAGGAGTGATCCTTTTCTCAAAGGCTTCTTTGGCTGACAAATAAATTGAGGGGAAAAAAAATTAATCGTAAACGAACCAGACAATTTCTATTACATATTGCATGATGTTCTTTTCTGATAATCTCTTTCGTACTCTCCAGCTTCTGTTTTTAAAGTAATTGCACTAATTTTGAAAAAAAAGGCAAAAGGGGTAAAAAGAACTTAAATATATAACATAATTCATAATTCTCTTGCAAGGAGAGATCTGACAGGGTGGGTGGACACCACTGGGGAGAGATGATCCCATAAGTAAACATCCCCCCCCCACTTCCCCGGGCCATGATACAGTAGCTTGAATTCCACCCGGAAACATCGTGGTAACCTATGTAACACCTGTATCATATGTGCTGAAGGACTGGCACGCATAATACAATTATCATCAATCCTAACAGAAATATTCCTTTAGGACTAGCAGAATGTATTCAGTTCATCTGATTTATTTATCAAATTTTATATCTGTTCTTCTTAAAAAAAAAGTGTTTTTCTGCTGCCACTGAATTCTTACCACGTTTCCAATTCCACTCATGTGCGTCTGCTAAACAATCAGCATCAAACTGGTACTGCCCGTTCTTTTGATAAAAATAGTCATCTGTGCTAAGCATGATCCCACCAGGGTTATCCTCAAGCAAAACCCTGCGAAAAATGATAAACACAGCTCTAGTCTTTTTTCTTCTTACAAATCACTGTGAAAAATAAACCTGCGTCTCGTTCATCCTTGTGACTCTTTCTGTTTAGATCTTTCAGAAAATAACCACAATAATCCGTGAGAGTTTTTTGGGAGTACCTTTGTAAGAGAAGTACATTCATAGGCTATCATATACCAAAACCATATTGGCTGTCAATTGTAATTTATTTTATTCCAACATTGCAGAAACCTTTTGGGAAAAGTATACAGTAGAAATGCCACCTTTGGTTAAGTTTCCACCCATTTTTCTTCTCATTTCTTTATAACTATAGCCTTGTTCACTTAATAATACAATTTTACATCGCTTTCTGGGCGACCGGTCAACTCTTTGCGCCATGACTTTAATTTTATTACATTTTACAAGCTCACTAAATGAAAGAACACCCAAAACCCGCAACCAACTTGATAGCGATCACATAACACACTGACAAATGTCCTCCTCTCAGCTTCAATACAAGACATCAATAACTGAATCCTACTGTGATCTGATTGGCTCATTGCCAAAACAAGTTGACACCTGATTGGCTCTCTAAACACTCATGCTCATTGGCCTCAATTGGATGAAGGAAAGCTACCTGAGATCAACCTAAGCAAGTGTGCTTCCTTTTTCTGGTTATTTGGCTGTAACTTTTCATAGAACACAGTACAGATCATTGAACAAACTTTGTTGCATTACATTCTTGATTAAATTATCCTTCCATTGATATATAATTTTATGGTACTAATAAAAAAAAGGGTGTTGACAGTAAAGAAACTATATTAATGTTAAATCTAATTACAGCGGCTAGGTTGTTAGTAGGGCAATGCTGGAAGAAGGAATCTTTGCCTACTTTGCAAGAGTGGTTTCTTGAAGTTTTCTATTTAGCGGAAATGGCAAAGATTTCGGCTTTTTTGAAAGATCAATTGCAAGAGAAGTACCTTTTGGTATGGAAAAGATGGATAAATTTTATACAATACAAGTATGATATAAAAATATTATTTAGCTTTTGAATAATTTATATTTAAAGTTTAAGATATTTTTTAGACATTTTTTTTCTTTCTCTTTCTAATTTCTTTTTTCTTCTTTTTTCTCTTTCTGTTTTTTAAGTATTGGTGTCAAAGTATTTTATGATTTGTTTAATTATTGTAATCAAATTTGTATATGGTTCACTTGTGTTCAAAATTTTTTTCTTTTAAATTTTAATTAAGCCTGTATTCTGCTCAGGGAAGGTTGGGGGAGGGTTGGGGTGGGTTGGGAGGGTTTGGGGAAGGGAACTTTTTTTTTTGTAAAATTTTAAAAATTTTCAATTAAAAAAAAAAGGGGGTGTTATTAGCCATCAAACCTCAAAAATACACTTTTCCCAAAAGGTTTCCACAATTTTGGCCACTACTGTCCATTTCTACCTTGCCCATCTCAACTAAGTGACCCTGACCGGTCTACAACAAAAACATAAAAAGTAACATCAAAGCATAAATTAGAGTTGAAGCAGAGTTACGGACAACGTTAAAAATTAAGATGTTGCAAGTTAGAAAGCAACATTTTCAAATGGCAGGCTTTGTGTAACAGCCCATGCTTCTGTTCGAGGGCTAATCACGACCTGAAGGGGAGCCCCCGGCTTCTGCACAGAGTCAGTGAAAAGATAGGGATCTGATAGGATCCCAAAAGGGGATCACATGACCCCGGGACGCTGCAACCGTCATAAATCCGAGTCAGTTGCCAAATGTCCAGATTTTGATAGCAATAGCACTTAGACTTATATACCGCTTTACCGTGCTTTACAGCCCTCTCTCAGCGGGTTACAGTGTCAGGCTGTTGCCCCCCAACAATCTGGGTCCTCATTTTACCGACCTCGGAAGGACGGAAGACTGAGTCAACCTTGAGCCAGTCTGGATCGAACTCCCGGCAGGTGGCAGAGTCAACCTGCAATACTGCATTATAACCACTGCACCATCACGGCTCGATCATGTGGCCACGGAGAGGCTGCAACAGTCGTGCAAAAAATGGTCACGAGTCACGTTTTTCAATGCCCTTTTAATCGTGAACGGTCATTAAACGAACTTCTTGTTAAGTCGAGGACTACCTGCATATGGTCAGAAGAGAATCTGGCTTGCAGATAGAATTTATATGATGCGTCTGTGAGTTAAGAAAAAGAGAGCAACATTGTATTTCTGAATCTTTTGTATGTGGAACCTACCTCGCCAAATATGATTTGCCCGATCCCGGAAGCCCTCGAAGTAGAACCAGTACATGACCCGGGAAGGCTTTCCTGTTCGTTACGTGACCTCCAGGCAATGGATGGACTTGAGAAAAATGGTGTCTTTGTCGCCCGTTTTTACTGCCGCATCTCTTTGGCATCTCCCAGGATTTTGAAACTCTGGGAGAGCAAAAGGTCCTTACTTGACTCTTACCATCCAAAGCCGGTCTCCACTTCCCGGGACTGAGGGCAATCGGAGTCACAAAGCTATGGTTTCCACCTTGTGAATCGAACGCTGGATAAAAACTAAGCTGCCGAGGATATGTCTGAAACAGAGAAAACGGCAAACTCCACGTCTGCTGAGAAGGATCCGTCTCCTTCGTAAAAGGTGCCGATTTCAAACCAGATCCTGTGCACAGGTCAGGAACGGAATTTTTTTTAAGATCGTTGCAGAGAGCCACTCCATTTTCATGCTCTTCAGCATCCCGTGAAGAAGCAGCAGCAGAAGAATTAGGGGAGGCGTTTGTCTCTATTTTTGCGAAACCGTGACACCGTTGAGCAGTCGGGGTGCTCACTGCTATAAAGTCAAATAAAACCTTTTGCATTTGATTCGGATCAGTGTAAGACTCTGCCTTGTCGGCTAACGTCACGATGTCTGAAACAGCACCGCTGTCCAGGACAACTTCTGGCAAACTGCAGCTCTCTGGGTTTTGTGTCAAAATATCCTTTGTCTCAACCTCTGTTATGGACATTGACTCTGACGCTTCACTGTAACTTGGTTTCGATGCAGTGAACCAGTTTTCTATTGCTGTTCCGCTGGATTTTATACATAGTTCAGTGCAATTGGAATTACTGTGATCCTGAGCCAGAGTTAGACTACCTAAGGGACGATCGTTTCCTGATTCTTTTGCTTCGCTTGTTTGACTGCATTTCTCGAGAGCATTATCTATCAGGCGGGCCAGTTCTTCAGATAACCAGGGCTGCTGTGATTCTTCACCACACTTCGCCACTGCAGCAGTAGTATCGTTGCCCTCGAGTTCATGAGTGCTACAGCTTGAGTTATTTCCACCAACTAGCAAGGCAGAGAAAGAATCAAAACCTGAGACGTTTGATGAACATATTGTATCCTTAGCTGCTGTGGACAGTTCTAGCAGATCATCCATAGTGTCTTCCACTGGTAAAAACAAAGCAAGGGCACAATTACTTTACTAAGCTTATTCCTTCTTCTACACACCAACTTCGATAGCACTGCAGGAATAAAGGAGGCCGTTAATTTTCATTTAAAGATTACCTGAGTCTCCATCTGTCTTGCAGCAACCTTTGACCTCTCTTCAAAAACAGACTGATTAAAGGATGCTCTTCACAGTTTCAGCTACCTAGGGGCCAAAGAGCAGTGCCTTGAACTAACAGGGAGAACTACAAGGAAGCAGTTGTGTGTTTTTTAAAATAATGCTTGATCGAAATAGTGCGTGTACATTTAAACAGGAATTTTGGAGTCAGGTGTTATTGGCACAAAACCATTTGTTAGGTGCAGCTTGAAAAGAAAATTGCAACTATTATGTCACAGCGTACACGGTCTTATTGCGCTGAGATAACCCAGGAGCAAAACACAGTAAACAGTGGTCTATATTAAATGTGGTTTTTTCTTACAAATGGATGGGGAAGAAATGGAGGTAGTGACAGATTTTATTTTCCTGGGCTCCAAGATAACCGCAGATGGGGACTGCTGTGGGAGTTAGTTAGACATAATATTATACTAGTGTGTGAATTCAGAGTTTGAAATAAGAGATGATAAGAATTGGCGGGTTGGAGACCAGGAGGGAAAGCCTGCATTTCAAACTAATTGGAGAATGTGATTTATGACTGTTAATTAAAGGAGGGAATTGTGCTTTGATACCATGTGCTCAGGGGAGGGGAATTCAGATTTTGGCTTGACCTATGTTAGTGCTGAAGCTATGCTACTCCAATAAAGATTGTTTAAGGTAAACAATGCATGGAAGTTCTTTGAAGAGTTTCATCTGTCGGAACCATGACATCAGGAGGATTTTCAACCAACACAACATACATAGACACTTTAAAGCCAAGAATACACTTAACACATCAGCAAGTCTCTGAGGCATCCTTGGTCAATGTGTTGGCTCTGCTGAAAGTTCAAAAGCAGAAGGCAAAAGGCAAATCAACAGAAAAATGTGGGGGGAAAATCAAAGAGATCTGTGTGTCAAAGAGTTCTCGGTCACTTGATGGAATACCCCCAGGGCTGGAATTGATCCTAGCATCAGCATCCTTTTTTTTTAGCCCCCACCTGTACAGTGAAATAGGAGGGAGGGAAATAACCACTTTAAACTGATATTTGCTGTAGGAAAAAGGATCAAACTGACCGTTGATTTGGCCTACCTTTGAAATCACATTCCGACAGCACCATGTAGATGACCGTGGGATCCAAGTCCGAGAACATTTCGGAAAGTCCGCTGATGAGTTCTTCTTTATTGATCCCATGTAACGAAGTTGGTGAGGATGAGGCGTCAGGAGCAGACATTGTCTCTGGGTTTGTATTTTTCCTCGATGGGCTCACGCCAAAGTTTTTCTTCTTCTTTGGCATTTTCTTTTTCAAAATGGAATTGCCGTTACCGCATGACGATGCTGACACCGAGAAAAAGGCCAATTATTCTTCCAGGCCACATCTTTGGGGTGACCGTAGCAACCTAGAATGGAAAAATGTATGTTAGAAGCTGCAGCTGGATCCTGAAGTTAAATCGAGCGTTTCTCCCCCCCCCCCGCTTTCTAGCAGGCTCAGAAAAATGTAATTGGAAAGAGAAGAAATATATTACCTAAAGCATTTTCAAAAAATAAAAGAATTATGTATTCAAGACACATGGAGAGACACCCAGAAAAAGTACAATATACATTCTATTCAAATAGACATAAGCCATAGTCTAGAATTGATATGATATGGACATCTTTCGATTTGAAAATGATGATAGAAGAGGTGGAGATAGAAACTAAGGTTTGGGCAGATCACAACCCAATAAAAATGACTTGGAAAGGAATCAAGAAAAAAATTAAGATGGTCCCTGAATAAATCTATATTGAAAGAAAAAGAATTCTTACAACTAGCAACAAAGGAAATGGAATTTAAAAAAAAAAATAAGAAAAAAGAAACATCCCTCCAAAATGTATGGGACACGGCCAAAGCATATTTTAGAGGGTTGGCCATAACCTATGCCTCTAAAAAGAATAAAGAAAAGAAACAATTACAATTAAAGCTGAGAGAAGAACTTAAAAAATTGAAACTAGAGTTACAAATAGACCCACAAAAGAAAGTCCTCAAGAAACAAATGGAGATAATAAAACATAAATTAAACCTGGCAGAGATGGATATTATGGCACAACAGATCAAACGGACTAAAAATCAAACAGATTTTTTTTGAAAATGCCAAAAAAGTGGAATTGTTTACACTTGAAACTAAAGTTTAATTACAAATCTAAAGGAAATATACAGTATTAAAGCAAAGAGAGAGAGAGAGAGAGAGAGAGAGAGAGAGAGAGAGAGAGAAAATGGTTGAATATTTAAGCAATTATTTGAACATAAAATATTCAAACCTCTTTTTAAAAAAACATATAACAATATGTAACGTATTTATATACAAATTAGCCCAGTCACTAAACAAATGGTTTTAAGTCAAAGGCTGCACCTGTCGACTTATTCCACAGGTTTCTTTTATATTATAATTGGGGGGGGGGAGAGAGAAAGACTGCAGCATCAGCTTAATTAAAATATGGCAAGAGATCAAGCGGCCTTAGAGAATTGTGTAAGACGAGTTTAGTTCTCGGCAAACACGCGTCTCATATCACTTAATGATTTCACAAGAAAAAAAAAATCTGCAGAAGGTTTTGAGTGAAGAACTTCAGAGCCATCTGTGAAATGTCACAGGGGTGGGGATAGGAAAAACTTGACTTTTAAAATCCTCATCAGGCCCAGAACTAGATCTGGAAAATGATGCAGTGGGCTCAATTTCAGGCGTTCTTGCTGTGCTCATTCAAAAATATCAAAACACAAGTAAGCGCTCACAAAATAACTTCCTGTTCATTTCTTTCCCTCCCCGTTTTTTTATTGAAATCGCCTCAGCCTTTGTTCATAATCAAGCACCTCGTGACTTTCCTTCCTCAGCAACAACAAAGGTATATTCCCACCTGCAGTGTTGTATTTTGCTCGTTTTACACTCCATGTTCACTAGCTTTGGTTCCACGTGTTTCACGTATTCACTCTATTCATGTATTCACAGCTGAAACGCACAGATCAGAATTGCTTCTCCGCAACAAACGATTTTGTTTTCACCTCCATTTCTTCATTTTTATGATGGATTGGTGTACAGTAAGAAAAACCAGTGCAGTTAAAAGTCAGAGGGTTCCTGGAATTATAAAAACAACAATAAATCCATTACGTGTTTGATGGGAGCCACGTGCCAATTTTTGAAAGCATTCAAAAATAATACAGGATGTCCTTGACTTACAACAGTTCATTTAGGGACCGTTCAAAGTTACAACGGCACTGAAAATAGGGACGCCTCTATTTTTTCTTCTTCAAGTATAGATCAAAAAGGACTGTCTTTCTCCAGAAGGGCAACAAGGTATAAAATCCCTTGAATTTGGTGATCGTTTAAAAGATTTCAAGTGGAGTTGGCATTATAGCACCAAAATATATGCTGTTTATCTGATAGGAAGGCAAACTTTTTCTTCAAGTAATGTTAACTCTAGAAGCATCTACCTACCATTCCCAGATAAGCAATAATGGGTAATTAAAGATTCGTATATTATTTTCATTTTGGGTATTTGCTAAAGAAACCTCCCTAGTGTATCTTCAAGAAAATTGGCTGGGTGTAAAAAATTTTCTTTAAAAAAAAAAGTAAAATATTTTATTGATTCACAGTGTGAATTAACGAGAAACGCCCAAACTGCTGGTTACATCAGCCTAACCTTTAATTAGCTCCTGTACACTGTTAATTTGCTCAATAGCCTTTGAGACATTTGTGGACGAGGAAGCACAGAATTACGAAGAAGAAATTAGTCATAGTCTAATTTTAAAAACAGTGAGAAAGGCTCTTGTATTTTTTTACACAATGCTCAGTTCTTTCTTGTCATTTTCTAGGTTGACAATAAGAAACAAGACAAAGTTTCCGATATTGAAAGCTTAAGCGTGCAGCGTACATTGTAACAATTTTGGACCCCATCCCCTTGAAGCTGTTTTATTTGATATTAACTTAAAACACCTATTTTGAGTTGTTGTTTTTTCTCTCTCTCTCTTGGATGATAGAAAAGCACTAAACAGTAGGGACCAAACACAGACAATTATGTCTTTTTAACAGGATGAAAGGTCACACCACAACCTCATGATCACAAAAGTGTTAAACTGCACATGCTTTTAAAAAGAACAGAGCTAACAATAACACACTGTGAAGCCTTCATTTGTTGAATCAGTTTTATAGACTTGCTTTAGTCTTCACAGCTCTAAACCCAGCGCACACTGCCGCAGCAGCACCAATTTATAAAATAATTAAATATAAAAATAATCAGTCACACCGAGCGGCAAAAGTTACGTTTAAAAATAATGCATTTAGTCAATGCAATGAAAATAAACGGCCCCCAAATTATGCCAAGCTTCTTGCCATAGTTGTTAAGTGGAACCGTTGCAGTTGTTAAATTAGTGCTACGGTTGTTGAGTCCGGTCTCTGTATTGACTTTTGTCCATCAGATGGTCGCAGAAGACAATCGTATGACGCCGGGACACTGCGACCGTCGTAAATACGAGTCAGAGGCCAAGCGTGTGAATTTGGACCCCATGCGCCTCAAAGGGTCGTAAGTATGGGGAAAAAAGGGTCGTAAGTAGGAAAAAAAAAAACCTTGGTCCTAGATCACTTTTTTTTCTCCAGCACCGCTGTAACTTTGACCGGTCACTAAAGCGAACTGTCGTTCAGTCGAGGACCACCTGTAACCCGACGGTCTTTTTTTTTTTTTTCTCCAAAAATGGGGGGGGGAAGAGGGGCGACCCACCCCGTAGGACCCGCTTTGGGGGGGATCAACCAATAAAAAGAAATACGGATAAAAATAAAAAGAGTAAAAAAAAACACAATAGAAAATAAACGAACAATAAAGAAAAGATATAAACAAAAAGGGCGGGCTCGTGTGGGGGGGGGCGGAGGAGAGAAATCCGGTCAATCCTGAGGCGAGACGGGCCTTTCCTGAGGGGGTTTCGGAGGGTTTGAGGCGGGCGGGGGGCGCCTCGGCCTTTCCCTCGAGGAGGGTCCGCGCTTTGGGGCCGCCACGGGGATTGGGAGCCCGGCCGGGTTAGAAGCCAGGCGAGGCGGCGGCGGAGCTCTCCTAGGCCGCCATGGAGGAGGCCTCCTTCCTTCCTTCCTTCCCTCCCGCCCTCCCTACCTCAGCCGCTCCGGCCATTTCCCCTTACCTCGCCAGCAGGTCCGCCTCCTTCCGCAGGGCGGGCCTGGCCTCGGCGGCGGCGACGCTCCCCGGGCGAGTCGCGAGAGGAGGAGCAGGAGGCGGAGGAGGCCCGGGCGCCGCCTCCTCTCCCTCCCCGACAGCCCGGCCTGGCCTTCCTCTCCCGCAGGCCTGGCGTCGTGGACGCGCACACGGCCCTGCCAGGGTGGGAGCCCTTCGGTGTTTGGGCTCCCGCCCAGGGCACGGCGCCCCTGGATGGGCGGCCTTTCCGTCCGACGTCGGGGCTGCCGTCGGGAGTTTTTCAGCCCCGATCCGGCAGCCCGTAAGGGAGAGGGTGGGAATGAGAGAATAGTTGCTCTGGTGCAGTGTTTCTCAACCTTGACAATTTTAAGGCATGTGGACTTCAACTCCCAGAATTCCACAGCCAGCAACGCTGGCTGTGGAATTCTGGGAGTTGAAGTCCACATGCCTTAAAATTGTCAAGGTTGAGAAACACTGCTCTGGTGGCTTCCTTGCAGACGTTTCATGACCCAACAAGGGAACGTCATCAGGGTTAGGAGGAGATGGAATTGGAGAAGGAGAAGTTTGAGCAGGATGAGTTGGAGGAGAAGAGGATGTTGATGACTGCGGGAGGGGGAGGGTCCTTTTTGCTCTCTGAGCTTGGTCGTTTCCTGATAGACGTTTCATGACCCAACTAGGGAACTTCATCAGTGTTAGAAGGAAGTTTGCAGGGAAGAGGAGGAGGACAACGATGACTGTGGGGTCCTTGATGGTCTCTGAGCTTGGTGGTTTTCTTGCAGATGTTATCTAGGCCAGGGGTAGGCAACCTTGGCTCGTTTATGACTGTGGTTGTTTCCTTGCAGATGTTTCACTACCCAACTAGGAAACATCATCAGTGCTAGAAGAGAGAAGGGAAGAGGAGGAGGACTGTGGGGTTCTTGATGGTCTCTGAGCTTGGTGGTTTTCTTGCAGACGTTACCTAGGCCAGGGCTAGGCAACCTTGGCTCTTTTATGACTCGTGGACTTCAACTCCCAGAATTCCTGAGCCAGCATGGCTCAGCTTGGAAACCTCTTTCCCCTCAGCATGGCTGGCTCAGGAATTCTGGGAGTTGAAGTCCACGAGTCATAAAAACAGCCAAGGTTGCCTACCCCTGGACTAGGCAACATCATCAGTGTTAGAAGGGAGTGGAGGTTTGGGGGGAGGAGGAGAACTATGGGGTTTCCAGAGACCTTTTATGGTCTCTGAGCTTGGTTGCAGATGTTTCATTACCAAGTAGGTAACATCATCAGTTGTAGTAAGGAGCAGGGTTTGATCTCAATTTATATTGTACTAGTAAGGAGTGGAGCTTGCTCTCAGTTTATAACATACAGTTTACAATATAAACTGAGAGCAAACCCCAGTGCTTACTAGCACTGATGATGTTACCTAGTTTGGGTTATGAAACGTCTGCAAGAAAGCCACCAAGCTCAGAGAGCACCAGGAACCCAGATCAGGAAGCTCTGGATTTGTAACAGTCCTCAGTTGCACATCCAAAATGATTTGGTTAGATTGATGCCCCACTTTTGCTTCAAAGTTTGGAGGAGGTAGATAGGACCTTTCTTCCTCTTTTTTTTTTTCCAAAACAGAAAATTATGTGGGATGCTTGGGTTGAGAGGACTACATCAAAGTCCCCCAATGAACTTGCAGGACCGTGGTGCCGGTGCAAATGCCGCAGTCACTGCACCATACCCACAAGTTGCCTGCATTTTCCATCTCCTTTCCTGCAGCAAAGGGATGATTCGGATTGTGCTGCTGAAATTTGATCGCAAAGTGACGGAATTAAAAGCCAGATATTTTCAGTCTTGCTTCTGGGTGATGATTCAAGGATGCCCTGGGCTGCCCCCAGAGGTGTAAAAAAAAAAAAAAATTAAAATGTTCCTTTAAGAAAAGGTTTATCTGTCCAATTCTAGACTGTTAAAAGAGCCCAGAATGGGTTTTTTTTAATGCACTAATTGGTTATAGATATAATAGTCCTAACTGACATTGAGGGAATAAATTAGGAGTGCATATATAATGTACCAGATTTCTAGTGTGGTATCTGTTCATCACATTTATTTCATTTTGGGAAGAGCAACCTTACACACAGTGAAGGCAAGCAAAGACATTAAACATAAGGGGTAAACGAATGATTGCTTAATCTATTGTCAATCTATATTGTTTTAATAGCTTAATGTTACTTCTAGTTTTTGTATTATACAGATAATCCTCAACTTAACAACCACAAATGAGCCCAAAGTTTCTGTTGCTAAGTGAAACATTTGTTAAGTGGATTTTGCCCCATTTTACAACCTTTCTTGCCACAGTTGTTAAGTGAATCATTGCAATCGTTAAGTTAGTAACACGGTTAAGTGAACCTGGCTTCCCCATTTACTTTGCTTGTCAGGTCGCAAAAGAGGATCACGTGACCCCCGGAGACACTGATACCGTCATAAATATGAGTCAGTTGCCAAGCATGCAAATTTTGATCACGTGACCACGGGGATGCTGCAGCGGTCGTAAGTGTGAAAAAAGGTCATAAGTCAGTTTCGTCAGTGGCACTGTAACTATGACTGTCACTAAATGAACTGTTGTAAATCGAGGTCTACTTGTATTGTAAGCCACCCAGAGTTGCTGTATCCATAAGATGCCAGACATTTAATAAACATTTAATAAATAAATTATTCCTCTCCACTCCTTTCTTTTCTTCCAAACTATCCCTTCTTCTATCCCTAATTCATATAATGTTTTATTTTTTAAGTCTAATAAATGTTATGCAAGCATGACTTTTCATGAAGCAGATTGCAGAAACTGGACAGATTAATATTAGTGTGGGCCGCAGTTCAAATTTAGCCCCAAATTCTTTGTGACCTGCAGTTTAAACTAAGGCCCAAAAGGAAAACAATGCAGAATTGATATGACTCTGCTGCAAAACTGGTGTAAGTAAAATGACTCTTCAGACTTAAGCTGTTACATTTTAGGGAGTCAATTTCTACGCTAAACCTCAAATTGTATCAATCACTAACAGGAAATCCTTTTAAATTAAGCACTGTTAAAGACAACTCCAGCTTTGTAATCATAAGGTAGCACTGCACTAAACAAATATACATACATTCGATTGCAACCCCCTTGACATTATTTTGAAATTAGTAAAATATCTGCAATTCTGTTGATAACAACACAGGGGCACACGGAGGCATGACTGTAATACCTCTTTGCAACTCATGAAAGCAGCTGCTTTCGTAAGTTGTACATAAGTACGCATTCACATTTCTATTGCATTTCACTAAAATGAAATCTAAAGCACTTAGGAATTGAAAAAGATTGGTATGAGAAGGGCTTGCTAATAACTCCAGCTAAACCTGTTTTTTCAGATTGCCAAATGCCAAACCAGTTTTCCTTCTTTGAAGTATGTTCAAAGGTACGTTTATTTGTATCCCAGACAAACTGAAGCCACTGAAATCTAAACCAGCCTTTCCTACTTAATCCTTTCCGGGATCTGTTTTTAAGATTTCACACACATCAGATACTCTTGAGAATTGTAAAACTCACAGCCACTTACAAGCTTACCAATATAACATAGCTTGGTAGTGGACATTAATATTAGACACATTAAGTGAAATATATTAATATGAAATGGCTAGATGTCATCTGGATCTCAAAGCCCCAGGCAGTGGCTCCAGTTTTGCTTACCCATACAACATGGGTAAATAATAATAATAGTAATAATAATAATGATGATGATGGTAACAATACTGCAGCCATAATACATGGGTAAATATAAATAATAAAACTGCAGCCATACTACATATATAGACATTAGACAGCACTGTGAGAATTAAGTGAATTAAGACGAATCGTGAATGGATGGATGACGTATAAATTTAATAAATATCTGAAATATTGGAAGGAGCTCATCGTCAGTCCCAAGACAACATTTCCCCCCCTATCCCAGCTTTTCCTGAAAAAAGTCTTTTTTTTATTGCAAGAACCAATCTTTTTAGTCTTTTTTTCTTCCTTCTTCAGCCGCCATTAAAAGAGGTTTACTCAGAAGGGTCTCGAAGGGGAAGGAAAAAAAACATACCACACAAACACACACACACACACCCATAAAATCCCGGAGTCTCCTTCGGAAGGTCCCACGGCCGGCTAACCTCTCCGTCCTTCGGGGAAGCAAGCGAAGCAGACCCGGGCCTCAGACCTCCCCTCAGAAGATGCGGCCTACTCCACCCGCCGCCGCCTCCCGGCCTCCCCGCGGGCCCGAGCGAGGAAAGGCCCCATCCGGCTGGGCCGGCCGCCAGGAGGGCGGGCCTGCTCGCTCCCCGCCTGCGTGGAAGAAGGAAGGGCGGCCGCGGGAAGAGAGGAGCGCCGAGGGGCGGCCTTCTCCTCTCCTCCTGGCCTGTTCTTCCCCGGCCGGCCGAGGAGCGGCACTGTCTCCCCGCGGCCAGGCCCCGCGCCAGGCGCACGCTCGGCCCAGCCGTCCCCGACAGCCGCCGGGCCTGACTGAGGCGGCCACAGCGCGGGGGGGAAGCAGGCCGGGCATCGTGGCAGCACCAGAAGAGCCGGAGATTCCCCCCGACCATCGCCGCCTTCCGCCACCGCCTGCTCGATGCTGCACCTCCCGGAGCTGCATGAGGTAAAAAGGCGGGCCGGGCGCGGGGCTCCGTCTGGCGGCGGCTTCTTTCGCTCGCCGGTGCGGGCAGGGGCGACATCTTGGCCGGAGCCGGGCGTCGCCTGAGGGAAGTCCTGAGGTAAAAGTTGCGGAGGGAGCGGGCCGAGAGGCCGCAGAGGGGCCGGAGGGGGGGGGCGCCTCCGGCCCTGTGAGGGGACCCTCCCCCCCCTCAATCCGGTGTTGTGGCTCCTTTTGCGGCCTAGCCTCTAGGCCTCGCCTGGCCGCTCGCTTGCGGGAGGCGCCTCCCGGCGGCGGGACGCTTCCCTCGGAGCCCTCCGCGGGCCGGGGGGGGCTCCTTCTTCCTCTCCGAGGCAGGCCCTCCTGGTGGAAGCGACGCCCGGAGGGGTCGGCGCGAGGGTGGGGGGAGAAAGAAGGCGCTGCCCGGCGGGGCTCGGCCCGGCCGCGGGGAGGGGGAAGGCGGGCGGCGGGCCCGGGACGGGGTCGTCGTCAGGGACCGAGGGGAGGGGGGGGGGCTTGTTTGCTCTCGAGGCTTCGAAATGGGGGAGGAAGGAAAACGGCTGAGGAAAAGTCTGAACTTTTGTTTTGCCACCGGCAGAGGCCGGTAGAAGCCTGCGGAGAAGGAAACTTTCTCGGCGGCAGCGGCGGCGG